TTGAGTTTTCCTTCCTAACGATATAACTCCAAAACCCACCGATTTCGACAATTTTGCATTTGTTGGAAAGGTCTCGGGCTCCGCAAGGTTTATAGCTAAGAAAATTAGTGGTGCATGGCATCGTGTTTTAATGCAAATTGCTGGAACCTTACGCACCTAAATTAAAAATTCGAGTAATGACATTAGTGAGAATTATCAGAATTATGCTTGGTTAAGTCAACGAGCAATTCTTGCCGCAAAGAATAATGATGTACACGCACTGAATTTCACCATTCAATCAAAAATTGCTGGCGATTTGGTGACATACCAATGATTCCGACTGGTCTTCCGTTTGACTTCAAACGAATGCAATTTTCAGTTCGCCTTGACAATTAACAAGTCGAAAGGCCAATCGCTTAGTGTTTGCGGGATAAATTTCAAAAAGATTATTTAGAAAATCATTTTTTGAGTTGGGAAACCATCCGCTTTGTTTGTGTTAACGTCAGACCAAAAAACAAAAAATGTGGTTTAGCAAAGAGCACTTCAATGAAACGGATAATTTGCGGATTCACTTTCATTTACTTAGAGAAGTTAAACTATAAAACACTTCATTTTTCATTACTGTTGTGTAATAAAATCAAATTTTTCCTTTTCAAATATAAAACAAACAAAAAATTTCTTCATCTTCGTCACGAAACTTATTATATAAAATAAATCTTATACGTATATCGTACAATTTAGTAATTCAAAACAAAAATTTTTGGGGCTAAATCATGACGATCTTTACTCAGTTAGGCTCAATAATTACCGTATTTCTTACCATACCATACCACTGTACGGATTTAATTCGGTTCGGTTTTGAGTTAAGGGAGAATATGTTTGCAAATCTGGACCAAAAAGTTCAGCCAGCGGCTTAATTTGACACATCACGGAAAATCGCTCCACTAACTAATAGTTAGATCATTACGACATAAACAATTTTCAGCTTCCAAGGAAGCTTATATTTAAGGGCCGAGTCTCAACCGAAATTTGTGGACTATAGCTTTTGTATATATCTCTATACGGTGTTTTAAAACAAATCTTTAACGCAGAATTGCGCAACGGGTTTGGTATATTTGAAACGAATTTCGCGAAAAACGAAAAGAATTTCTCCGAGATCATTTCTTCATACAACACTTCTCTCTCTGTATACAATTCTTTATTGTTTGAACTATTATGTATATATTTCTATATGATACCCTTGAAAAACGCTTTTAGCATAGACTTTGCTCAAAACACGGGATTTCAAACAGCATCGCTGCGTCTATGACCTTTACACAACAATGTACAATCTGTACACAATCTTTTATTTATAACTATAGCTATAACATCCACAATCTGCACATGGCGCTTTTGAAGCATGTGCTCAACTCTAGAACAAACTGAAAGTTCATTCAAATATATTCAAACAGTTATGTACTATTATATTTACAACTATTCATTCACTTGTTTATAACTTATGCATATATTTTAAATCATGCTTTTGGAGTGTGTGTTAAACTCGGAATATTTCGAGATAATTGATGACAAGGATTCGTCTACGATCATCTTTTGCCCAGCTAGGCATTTCCTTATATCTAACCCTTTGTTCCCTGGACTCTAACTTACGCATCTCTTTCCAGCTGGCTTATTTTCTCCCTGGACTATAACTATGCATCTATCTCAACTGGTGCTTTTGGAGCATGGATTTAACACAGAATTGCTTAGTTGAGTAATTCATGGTGAGAATTTGTTAATGATTATCCTTTATCTGCTCCGTGTATTATAACTTATGCATCTAATTCCAACTGGTGCCCTTGGAGTATGGCGAACACACAGAATTGCTCTATACTACAGAGTCTATAGCATAATTCGAGACAGGAATTTGCTCGGCGGCAGTGCGTGGTTCTGATCCGCGACTAATCTTTACCCAATCGAGCGCATGTGTTCGTTACTCACGAGACGGTTGGCGGAATCAGCGAAAGTTTTCTTGACTTCTATGATCATTGATGGACATAAATATTACGTATAGTGATATGTTTGAACTTATATCGAACTTATACATTCGTGGAACGGTTTTATGAGTATTTGGAATGTGTGTGCATTTTTAGTATTATTTTGAAGAACTATCATTCGGATGTTATGCAATTATAATTTCATATCACTTTTTATACATATTTGGACTATAACAACTACAAAATTGTGAAATCCTAAAAGTACATTCTATTTTATGACATTTGTATTGATGATTTAAACATTTTCAATTTGAAATGTAGGCGCAACGGAATTAATCTTTTATTTATTTTTTTTAATATATGTATAATATTTTGAATCATCAGAAGTATATTCTTCCTTTGTTTTTTTGTTTTTCGTTGTGAGCACTGTTGCTAGTTTACGAGTCTTCAATGTTATTTTTAGGGACACGCTATTTAATTGTTTCATAAGATATATTGTAAATTTTAAGTTAGACTCAACAGTTTTTTTTAAATATAATTTCTATTAATGCTTACACATGGGTAGGGTAAAAAGGACCAACTAAACTTTTACCCTGGCAAAAGTGTAAAAATAGCAAATAGAAAAGTATATTAAGTTACCAAAAAACAATTTTATAAGCGATTAATTAAATAAATAGTAATTTAAAAGCTGCTTATGAATTGACGCAATACTAGATCAAGGTTATTGACAGTGTTAACTCTGTAAAAATTGCACTTATGAAATTTATATTTCGCATTGGTTGAATAAAGTAGCTCTTATTTCGCAAAATCTCTTTACAATTGAAAATAAGACATTGGACCTGTTTGCTTCCTGACTTTACCATTTTACCCAAATTATGGGGTAGAAAGGATCAGGTAACAAATAAAAAAACAGCTAATACAAACCATTTCTACAATACTATACATTTAAATGTAGAGCCTGTATTTACTGATTTATATGCATGTGGAGTACACTCCTCTATTCATAAAATTCTGCCACTTCTTTATGATGAATATACTAGTCCAGAGGTGGGGAACCTTTTTGCCATTAGAGGCCACACTTAAATTAGGCAGCAATAAAAGAGGCCGCATAAGCTGATTAACCACAAAAAAATGACTTTTGTGAAATTATTATAGTTTTTTTTTATAATTTTAACAATTTATTGTATTATATAAAAAGAAGTAAATAAAATACTTCAAAATTTTAAAAAATGTCGAGATGTAAAATTTCTGGGTGTCAAAGGAAATCGAACGAAATTTCATTCCCTTCTCTTGAAAAAATTTCATTTATTTTTCTTGAAAAGTGATATGTTTCGAACGTATGTAATGAGATAAAATCGACTCCGTTTCGATAAAATCGAATTTTAGTTCGTTTCAATTTCATTTAAACATTCATTTTTTATATAAAAATGATATTAAAGTCTTTTATTTTGAATTTGATTTCTATATTCTTATTGTTCCATAATTATTTGAAATTAAAAAAATATATATTTTTCTTATACCATTGAATTCACTGATTTTTATTTTGCAAACTAAGGTGTTAACGGTTAATTTAGGGAATTTCGGGCTTTGGAAAAAACAGATTAAATTCGTTTGTGAACTTTTGGTATGAATATTCCTGCTTGTTGTCATTCAAGACAATAGTTACCATAACAAAAAAAGGATTAATGCATTAAACGCAACGTTACCTCTTTCCGAAAGTAATATACCTAGACACTATTGACAGATATTTAAGAATATAATTTAAAAATAATATTAATAAATCATGTACTTACTACTCCATTTTGAGAATAATAATGTTTACCCATGAAAATAAGCGTATTATTTGATAATGTATAAACAAACAATAATGAACGTGAAAAAAATATTTTAATTAAAATATGTATTTATTATGCACAAAATGTATTGTTAATTTATATTTTGCATTTGAGTTGCTCTCATTTCGAATACATATTTTGCCACATATTTGGACACATATTTTGCCTACGACAATTTTTAAAAATATATTTTTGTATTTTATGAAAAAAGGTATAGTTTTGTCATTTTTTAACTATGTCTCATAAAATTGCCAATATCTAGGTAAAATCTGGTTGCTCCGATCTTCGCCAAAGCTGCGGATTTGCTTTTGGTTGCGAGAAGTATAAATTTTTATCATATTAATACGGATACGCATAAAAATTTCTTTTGCACTGTTAAGTTTTTTATAATACGTCTTGAATCATATAATAGGCAATGCCTTGCAAAATCGAAAGTATTGCTTATATTAAATAATATTAATATAATATATTACATCTCTATTTTGTATTTGCCTAAGAGTCTGTGTTTCAGGCTAGTAATCTGATGTCATGTTACAATATGACTGTTTTTGGTGGGATTTTTGTACAATAGTTGTTTGAAAGTAACTCTGCTATTTTGTACTAGACGGCAAGGGGCCGCACAAAAACCCACCGGAGGCCGCATGCGGCCTCGAGGCCGCAGGTTTCCCACCTATGTACTAGTCAATCAAAGTTAACTGGTTAAAAAAATTACAACATATTGCGATTACCAAATTGTACAAAATAATACATTGACAAATTACGATAAAATGTGTAGGCTTAAGCTATCAAATACTAAAATAGTTGAATAAAATTTTCGCACGATTCGATGCGAATTAAAACGCATTTGGCATGCAACTTAGACAAAGCATGGCGTCGACCAGAAAAGTCGCAAAGCACGTAGAATGGCTATTACATCACCTGAGTCTCATTACTCCTCGCGGTTTGAGAACGCTAAATCCTGGATCTCTTTGCCTGTAGATGTTATTCTACATCTGTGTCGATCTTCGCAAATGTGTGCTATATTAGTGATATATGCATATCAGTTACCGGAGTATGTGTGTGTGTCTGTTATGTCACTTATCGGATAACAAACGCCACCTATTCAACCGGGGAAGGGATCGGTGAATCGCCTCACTATAAATACCGAATTCGTGTACCACATGCACTCAAAATCAGTTTATTTGTTCCAAGTAGTCCAGAGTTTTTGTGATAATTTTGTTTTGAAATTATATTAAAAAACTTATCAAAAATGAAGGTAATTATTTTATTATATTTTTTTCGTTAGTGATTATTAAACTATGAGGGTTGCAATATTACGTCGCATACGTGAATATTTATGAAAGCAATGTGCTAGAAAGTGTAAATTATACCATTAATAGCATTGTATCATTTGGAATTACCGGAACAATTTGCGTTAAGTGTGCAGGCCTTTAACAAAGTGTTAACGAATACTAAAGCTTTATCGTCCATGCGATAGAAAACCGCAATCATTGCATACATGAATAATTATTATTAGTGAGACATAAAATCACATTATGAAATTAGTGCAATTGTACGTTTGAACTAGATTTTGTGTGAAGAATATATATATATATATATATATATATATATATATATATATATATATATATATAATTGTCTTCATAGCAATATAAATCTGGTTTATTGTGATCTAATAATTTTTATTAGGTAGGGCTATGTGACTACGTTTAACAAATATTTCAATACTTAATATATTAGATTTTTATAATATTTCTCGTGATATTTTACATTTTTTAATACGTAGAATACTATTTGTAATATATATTTCTGCATAAAATTAAATGTCTAAATTAATACATAGATTAATTTAATTAAAAGTTTAAACCAAATTAATAAAACATATCGCAATGGTAATTTTGAATATAACGTTTTATAAAGATTTTGTTATATACAAATGTACTTAATTTAAAAATTGATGCTTTATTATTATTAAGCAATTCACACAGTAAGAGACACGCGTAGGCATTTTAATGAAATTGTTTCTCGTAGAATTAAACATAGCTAGAAATTGAACTTCAATAAATAAATTGCCAAATCCTTAATTTTATAATTTTGCTTTATTCAAAATTATTTTCTTTTACACTTTACTAACTTAAAATGTAGTTGACACATGGATTGTTAGAGAAGATTTTGTCGACACCAATCTTTAGTTAACCCACAAGGTAAAACGTTACGTTTAAATTAAGTTATGGCGTTAAATATATTATATAGATTACAATATAATCTAATTAAAACTTTAATCACATTTGCAGTGTATGATCGTAGTATTGTGCTTGGCTGCCGCCGCCATGGCCTTCCCAGGTGATTTGGGGGGTTACGGACACAGTGGTTTCGCCGCAGCTGGTTTGCTCCACGGTGGAGGTGGCGGTTTGGAACATGCTGAGCCATCAGTAAGATGACAATATAAATTCAAATTTTTACGTAGACATAATGAATGAATTATATTATCTAACTTGAAGCTGTGATATAAAATACTAAACCCCATTCTTTAGCCAAAATTACTTAGATCCCAAATTTTGGATAACTTGATATAATACAGTAATGATATCAAAATATATTGTAAAAAAACAAAGCAAAATATGGTTTATAATTAAAAATATGTTTGTAATCAAACATTCGAACAACGCTAAATCTCTTCCTAAAATTAGATATCATTCCTAAATATGCAGATGATTTAATATATAATAGATAAATTTTATGTTTTTTTAACTTGCATATTAATTAAATGTTTAAACTATTTCAATTACTTAAGAGATATTAGGTAATGTGAGACAAATAAATTATGTAAATGTTATAATATTAACAACTAGCAGGTTGTGCATAAATAACAAAACATAATTGGTATGGAGAAATTATAAAATAATTATATTTACCTGACAATTTTTTACGGTTTTTTCTTCCTGTTTCTGTATTTATTGTGTCATTCGTCTTACATTACGCAATAGTTAGCGACATCAACACAAATAAGAAATCGACATGAAATCAATCGAACGGCATTGGATGACAATGCAGTTTGATATAAAAATAGAAATTGATATAAAATGAAAAAATATGACTTGAGCTGGTCGTGACAATTACTTGATTTAGCAACCACTGACTACTTTCAAATAATGTTGTTAAACAATGCTTAACTCTACTGGTTTTTGACAAATCGGTGATGGACCTTTTTAATCCTGCGCCTTTATATATTAATATCTATTCTTCAATAAATTCTAGGATTTTTTTTATTTGACTTCGTTATATAACATTTGGTCATATACAAACATAAGGAATATACACGTACATTAGGAATAAATACATAACATTTTATTACTAAATAAAAACTATATAACTATTTTAGATTTTAAATAAATTCATATAATATTTTAGCATTTCTTTCATTTCTTACTATGCAAATCCATGCAATTGGTTTTATTATACTTCTGTCGTCATAATATTTATCCAGCATTTCTTCTCGTTGTTTTATAAATCTGCTACATTTCATAATAATATGTTCTATATTTCGGTCTTCTTCTCCACATTCACAGATAGCTGAAGATTTGATACCAATTTTAATCTGATTCTACTTAACCAAGTTTTTTTCTAATTTTATTCTCTATTGTCTTATATGTTTTTCCCTTCACCGTGTTATCCCAAATTTTTTGCCATTACTCTTCTACATTTTTTTTACTGATGTTTTCCACATCATTTTTCGGCACAATGTCCATTTTTTCTCCTTGTTGTGTTGCTATTTTTGCTAATTTGTCCACCTTTTCATTTCCCCCTATTCAATTATGTCCCCTGCTCCACGTAATTTTTATCTCATTTCTAACTCGATTCGAATAGCTGCATAAATTACTTCCTCAAAAAGATTTTTTTTGTTTATGCTTATTAATTTTTATACATAACTTTTGCAATCGGTATATACAATTGCTCTTATTATGTTCAGGTTTTTAATATATTTACCGCTTTTTCTATAGCTACTAATTCCGCAGTATATACTGAGACCAAATCTGGTAGTTTTATCAATTTTTGAAATTCCTTCTTCTCATGAATCATGGCACACCCTACTTTATTATTTACTTTAGAGCCATCTGTGTAGATTTCCTCATATTTTCTACTGTTTATAATATTTGTCTCTTCATTATTAGTATAGACAAAAATTTTTTTACCTTTATCAAACCATATTTTTTTAAGATTAGCATGGTTTTCATATATATTAAACATTATTATAAGCATTAGTTTTCTTCATGAAATTCAAACTGTCTACCATAATATTTTGCTTATTAATAATATTTGGCTCTCTTCTTAATATCTTCTTATATATATTTTTGAATTAAATATTTCCATCTTAGTTTTAGAGGTAATTCTCCACTTTCCACTAACATCGCATTTATTGGGGTAGATTTCATCGCATTCTGATACATCTATATTGTACTTTATCTAACTTTTTTACATGTGGACTACTGTGATAAGCAATACTCCCATAATCTAAAATCGGACTAATCAAAGTTTTATATAGCTCTAAACTCGTTTGTGGATGAGCACCCCACCATGTTTTGTTCACCATTCTTAATAGGTTTATCCTTTTTTCTATTTTCTTTTTAATATCTTGTATACATTCTTTAAATTTTAATTTTTGATCCAACTTGACTCTTAAAAATTTATCACTGTTTTTAACCGCTATTGAATGCTCTTTCGTACCAATATGAGTTGGTGAATTATTCAGACTATGTCTTGTGAATACCCCTATCGAGCTTTTCTTATCCGAAAGTTTCAAGCATTTATCCTTCAGCCATCCACGAAGTTTTTTAATATTTTCCTTCATAATTGTTCGGACGACTTTTTGTTTTATTATATTGGCCATGAATATGACAAACTTCAAGGCATTAAGCTTTACACGAAATGGTTCCTACCCCTGGTAGAGGGGGTAGCAAAGTGTTTTAATTGAACTAGTGGTTGGAAACAAATCAGTGTTTATTACAGTCCACAGGGTTAAATTATAACCCAACAACCTGAATTATCGAAGAAGAGTTTTAATAAATTCTATAACTACGTAACAAAAGTACATTTTGGTCATTCGAACCATATCGTGAATTACAAGCAGTTAATTAAAGTACAATAGTGATAACAAATTTCTAAGTGTTGTGAAGAAGAAACAATCAAGAGCGGCAACATTTTATAACCACGTGGCGGACAGACCAGAGCGAACAAGCAGGGCAACGTAAACTGAGAACAATTACAACATCTACACGCGTGTATTACAAGTAAGTCTGTTTTTATTCCTTTCATAATATCCCAATAATTTCACATATTGCTCGGTTGTGTTTAATATAGTATACATAATGGCGGAACTTAAAGCGAAGCATGGATTCATTAAATCCAAATTGACGCGAGTGCAAAATTTTGTAAATTTATTAGATTCCACAATACTATATGAAAATATAATTATTGAATTAAATACAAGACTCGAAAAGATATTACCAATTATTGATGAATTTGAAACGATACAATATGAAATTGAATTAATTGAGAATGTATCATAAAGCTAAATTAAAATTTATAATTCAAAATTTCAATGACACGAAAAAATATAAAGACGATCAGCAAACAATAGTGCCGTCTAGCATTTATTCGTATACAAATATCAAAAATATTAAATTGCCAACAATTAAACTTCCCACGTTTGATGGAAGTTACGATAAATGGTTCATGATTTATTTAACGCTTTGGTGCATAGCGACAATACTTTAAGCAAAATTCAAAAATTTTATTATTTAAAATCATCATTAGAAAAAGATGCAAAAATAGCATTGTAGCTATAGAGGCATCCGATTCTAATTATGATATAGCATGGCAAATTTTAAGAGACAGGTTTGAAAATAATCGGTTAATCATACATAATCACATAAAAGCAATTTGTGATAGTCCGAAATGTAGTCGCAAATCTCACTCAGAATTGAGAACTTTATTTGAAACGATATCAAGGCATTTACGCTCATTAGAGTCATCAGGCGAACCCACAGATAAATGGGACACAATTATTATATTTATATTCACAAACAAATTCGATACGCGTACTTTACGGGATTGGGAATCATTTACCTGTAGCAAAGAAAAGCCGACGTTGACAGATATTAATAATTTTATTAAACAAAAATGCGATATACTAGCAAAGTTATCCACTAATATTAGTAGTAAACTTTTTTCTAATAATAATAATAATAAATCTTTGGCTCAACAAATAAAAAAACAAGAGCACGAATAATAATCATAATTCATCAATAAATTATCTGTCAACGGGGCGGCAAACTTGCTATTTACGTGAAGAAAATCACTCTTTATATTACTGCAAGCAATTCAAATCGCTATCTATTAAAGATAGGATAAGTAAAATCAAAGAATTAAATTTATGTATTAATTGTTTCAAGCTAGGACATAAAGTAGAGGGTTGTTTAGCATTTCCATGCAAAATATGTAAAAGGAAACATAATACATTGGTTCATTTTGATGATATCGATACAAATCCTAGCACATCGGGTACAAATTTAGCGGTTGCTAATTATTCGACAAAAAATAGTAGTACTAAATTACAGTCACAAGCAATTTTAGCAACAGCTGTTATAAAAGTACAAAACTCGAGCGGAAAGTTTATGGAATGTCGGTGTCTTTTAGATTGCGGGGCACAAAGTAATTTTATTACGGCAGATACCTGCAAAAGGCTAGGTATAAAATTAGACAAAACAAATTGTACAGTTATGGGCGTCGGGCAGTTAACAACCAATATTCAGTTTTCAACAAATATAAATTTTATATCTATAAATACCTTATTTAAATCAAATATAAATTGTTTAGTGTTAGATAAAATAACATAACTCCTTCCATTAGTTTCCATAGTTAATAATTTTAAAATTCAGACAAATATTTCCTTAGCTGATCCGGAATATAATAAGTCCCGAGATATAGATATACTTTTAGGGGCAGACATGTTTTGGAAGCTTTTATCGGTAGGTAGAGTTAAATTGGGAGATAACACACCAATTTTACAGAAAACTATATTAGGTTGGATATTAGTTGGGTCGTTTTCTCCGAATTGCACATATTCAAAAAATTCAAAACGTTCAGTAAATTTATTGGCATTGAATACTTACAATATCAATAAAAAATTAGAGAAAGTTTCCGAAGTTAAAAAAATCAAAAACAACAATTATAAAAAGTTAACAAAACACGAAACATTTTATGAAAATCATTTTATAACAAATTTTAAATGCGATTTTACAGGTAGATTTATAGAAAAAATTCCTTTTAACTATAATAAAATACATTTAGGAGACTTGAAAACTCGCCATATACAAAGATTTATGTCACTTAAACATAAATTCCAAAAAAATAGTTAATTAAAAATTAAATG